AGAGAGAGAGAGAGAGAGAGAGAGAGAGAGAGAGTTAGGCGTTTCTTATAGAGATCCGTTTATGATCTCGTTAAATCGCAAGGAACAGGAATAACGAGGAATATTGAAGAGAGAGAGAGAAAAAAAAAAGAAAAAAAAAAATAAATCGCAGGATAGCGATAAAACGCTGATACCGCGTCCTTCCTGTTCGATCTCTTCGAGCGAGTGGCATTTGCAGGGACGTCGTTGCCTCTCCAAGACACCTCCCCCCCCCCCTGATATTCCCCCTTAATGCAATTTCTCGCCGAGATTTCTCTCGTCGAGAGTCATCCGATTCGCTCGACCCCGCTTTTCTTTTTCTTTTTTCCTTTTTCTTTTTTTTTTTTTTTGCGCCCGTTGAATATCGATCGTTTCACCCTCCCTCCTTCTCTCTCTCCTCTTCCAGACAATTAAAATTTTTATTTATGATCGCTGGAAAAATCCTGTAACTTGGTCTCTCTTACTCCTCCGTAAGGCAAGCCTGCCTCTTTCTTTTTCTCTCTGTCTCTCTCATCTCTTACCTTCTCGCGATTAATTTGAAATTGCGGGACGGGATAAATCGCGATCTTAATTACATTTCGTTCGTTTTGCAGTACGTAGCAAAACGATCGAGTTATATTTGGAAATTTAGGAAGGGATTGGGAGGGGGGTGGGGGGTTAAAACGAATTTTTCTTATTATTGGAATAGCGGTAGTTAGGAGTAGGAGGAAGTAATGATATGCAAACGAAGGAAAGGAAATTGTTCATCGACGTGGAAATTGTGCGTCATGATATTCGAAGAATTAAAGCGTTTTCCGTTTTACGAGATTGCAAATCGAAGTGTCACGTTGGGCTACTTCTCGTAGACGTGAGCGAACGACATCTGTATTTAAGCGTAGAATTTAAACGTATGCACGTTAACAAGAATGACGATGCACGTGATAAGAAGAGGAGAAAAATATTTAAATTTGCGCGGAATACATTATGATGTTTGAAGAATAGGGAAAAATCTCTGTTTAAGCTGCGTTGTGCAAAAATTTAAATGTAGAGATCCGGGAGAGAATAATAATAATAATAATGCAGAGAAATAATATATTCGAAGGATCGTTATGCTCGAATATCAATTTTTCTATTTAAGCTTCGTTCAAACTTTCTTCGTGGAAATTATATTTTTGCGAATAAAATCCTGCAATCTGAGTGTACGAATAATGTATACATATTTAGAAACAATTCGAGACATCTGATGATTCGAGAGGATATCATTTTATATAATTTCATGTCGTAATATTTTCAAAATCATGCGTGATGATAAGAAACGAAAAAAGAATTTATGCTAATTTTCGCGTAGCACGTGTCCACCGAGAGTTCCAACGAGGCTGAAACGAAATTTACCTTTATACGCCGAGATTAGAATCGAGTTGTTCGTAATACTTTAATGAAAGAAGATTCTGGTTATCGTATGAAAAGTAACGATTTTTGCCGGCTTGGTTCGATAAAATATCTCGAATTTTTCCTTTCTTTTTTCTTTTTTTTTTTTTTTCTTTTTTTCATCCACGTTTGAAAATTCCAGAACGGGTCCACTTTATGGAAATGTCCCTTGAGCCGAGGCGAAAGGCAAAGCTTTGCTAAGCTGCTGTTCCAAGCAATTTCTAGCGCGGAAAAATTTAGCGACTCCTCATTTCCTTTTGCCTGCTATTCCTTCTCTTTCTTCTCTCTTTTACGTTTCTCTCTCCCTTTTTCGAATTTTCCTCATCCTCCACCATTTTTTTCCCCTTCCCTTCTTAATAGGATGTCGTCAAGATTTCTCCACTAGAGAGAAGGAAAAATTGTAAGAATATATCACGAAATCAGGAAGGAACGTTAAATATTAAATATGCTCGTACACGGTGTTTGAACATCCTGCTGTTCGCAATTTTAATTTATAATTTTAATTCAAAAGTGTTATTCGTGTTTCGATTTCTTTTCATCGAATAAAATTGCGAATGAGCTCGAGAAAGGGTGATTGAAAAATGTATAAAAAAAAATTCTGTGAAATGTAAAGATAATACTCTATATAATCAGTATAATATAATCTATCCAACGATATAATATAATCTAAGGTCGATCATATAATATAATCTAATCGGTCAACTAATACCCGAATACGAGGAGATAAGGAAATGGAAGGTTGACGCGGTGAAGGAAAGAAGGTCGGTTAAATATTCGTCTCGCTCGATTCACTCTTCTATCCTTATCTCTTTCGCGGTCTTTCGCGCGAGCGATCGTGTTTTCCATCCGTTTCATCGGGATTATATTCGAGGTATAGGTTGCATGTTCATTTCCAGAATTACATACAGAGAAAGGAAAAGAAAGATAGAGAGAGAAAAAGGTGAACACACGATGTATTTCTGGCGATAGACGTCTACGGAGATGTCCTCGATTCTTCGCGAGAGATAAAGTTAAGGAACGAGTGTCGCTCGCTCGAAAATAATGTTTTTCTTTTGTTTCTTCTCTCGTTTTTTGTCTCGACCAGAAAGAATTCAACGTTTAATCGTTTAGAGAAAACGCGTGTGCACGATGGGTACATGTACACGAAAAAACCTCTAAAAATCTTCTTACTGAACGCTTTCTATGCGCATTTTCATTTTCGGCTTTCTCCATTCGGCCGAAGCTCGAACGTTTCGTTGTCGAAAACGAAGCGCGCATGCGCGTTGCGTTACGTAAGCGTAAGAGGATCTTCAATTTAACCGTTTTTCGACGAGTTTTTCAGTCGGATTTCAAAGGTTTCACACGCTTTCTCTGAGAATCGAAAAAAATGATTAATTTTACGTATTATTAATGAACATATCATTATATGTTTTATGTTCATTAAATTCTATTAATACAGTTTGGGTCGAATGTTCGATTGTTCGCGATTACTACTCGCAGCTGTACTACAATTTGCCGCAATTCACCTTTTCAACATTCCGCTTCGTTGCTTTCGAACGGAAATACATAATGCGGTAAATGAAATAACCGCTTGTTGGGCGTGTTCCATTGTTTCCAAAAGTTATTATACGCGAAACATTATTCCTGATTACTTGAAAATCACTGAAAGATATCGCGCGTTCGATAACTTTGTCCAACAAACGAATTCGTGAATATATATATATATATATACACATTATATATATATACATAATTGGTCACCTTTGGAAAGTAGATTCGTAATTCGAACGACGCACAGTGGTTTACATGGATATAATTGTTTCCACGTAATGTACAATAACTATACACTTAAAACTTTTATACATTAAAATTTTTAATCCTCTTTTTACAAATTATAGATAAAGTACGCGTATATGGGCAGAGAACTAATCGGATAACTGATCGATTTCAATAGAATTGAAAAATAAATTCTTAATAAATTTTGTGAATTTATTAAGAAGCGTTTAAAAATTTCAATTTTGTAACGGATATACAACGGATATTTCGAAACATTCATTTTAATTTAAATCGTTATAAATTATATTTTTTTTTAAATTAAGCTTAAAGTAATTACTTCATGTTATGTCAATGATTTTTTTATACACTTCATGTCGTTTCACGCGATAAGAGTTGGATATATGAAAAAAGTAGAAATTTTCTTTAATCTAGCCAGTAATATTTATGGAATATTAATTTTAAGCTACCTTATATTATAATATATATATATATAATATTCTTAACTTTAATTGGCAATTTTTTTATTCCTTTCAATATTTGTATATTCGTATTTTTATATATTTTTTATCGATTATCATGTATTTTCTTTTTCATTCTATACTAATCGAACGCAATTTTTATTAATTTTTCTTGTATATAGAAATAATAAATTATAATAAAAAGCAGTATTGTTATTTCCAAAAAAAAATTAAAATTAAAATAAGTAAGCTCAAAAAAAATAATTTTGTCCAGTTATTAGCGCTCTGGATTCGGTTCGTCTAATCCACTGTGCGACGACAGCCTATCCGGTACACGCGACAAATTTTATGAAAAGAATCGAGGCACGGTATTAATTCCGGCCGGACAGATGGCGACACGATAATCCGTCTATTATTGCTCGATTCGATCCTCGTCGAATTTTACACTCGCTTTACCTCGAAATGAGATTACCAGTGGGAGCATTTGGAATGAAAAAAAAGAAAGAAGAGAAAAAAAAAGGAAAAAAGGAACCCACCGCAGCCAATTCGGCAGCAGTCATTGTCGGTGAAAATCGATTTCAATTGGGGGATCGTTAGCGAAAAAAAAAAAAAGAAGAAAGAGAAGAGGAAAACGCGGATCTCTCTTTCGAGGCGAATGCGAGTCGAGCCGACGGCGTTACGGTTTTCACGCCACACGCTCTCTCTCTCTCTCTCTCTGTCTATAATGGTAAGTTATCGCTTTTTTGCGTTTTCATTCCGTTTTTTGATCTTCGATGTTCGCGAATGTGGTGTTCGAGTCAGGAGGGAGGGAAATTTGGCGCGATGGTTTTTGCGACTCGAAGTTCACGAAGTTTAAACTTCGCCCCTCCCCTCGTTCGGAGATTTAATTAGCTTTTTCGCGAATCGAATTTCTCCTTCTCGTGCTCGTCGTCTCGAGTCGAGTCAAGGCAACTCCCCTCCCCTCAAGGGCGGAGCTTATTTCTCCTCGAGATACGTCGTAAGAAGAAGTCGTTTCGGAAGAAGAACGAGACTAGCAAGTTGCTTTTGGAACCGTGCTCGGTCGGCAAAGCCTTTTGATCGGACTTTGGCCACGAATAGAACGTCGTTGCTCGCTTTTTTTTTTTTTTTTTTTTTTTTTAAAGGAACAAGAGGCAATTTGTTCGTTTTCGTTACTATTATTGCTATCGTTGCTCGTTTATTATCGAGAGAACAATTGAATATTTCGCGGGGATAAAATTCTATTTTTCAACACGATATAACAAAAATATGGATTGAAAATGGATTCGACACTTTAATTCGACGAGGATTAAATAACTTAAATTAAATCCCGTATCTAGAATATTCCCCCTTTTTCCCCCCTTCTCTCTTCTTCTTTTTCGTCTTCTTGATCGGCAAAATCATCGATTTTTTTCAAAAAAATATATTCGGTTAAAGTATCGTTTTATTCCCTTATCCGGTGACCTCTATCCGTCGATATTAGCCGATACGACGGGGATAGCCGGCGAAAAAGCACACTTCCCTTTTATCCTTTTTACGATACTCCATTGATGGGGAATCTTTTTAGATCAACCGATACCGATATTGCACGCACTCTACTACCTTGCAATTATTCTTTGAAACGTTTCCTCCTTAGGGCGAGCTGTTGAAAAGATTAACGTGTAAACGATCGTCTTATTGTTTGATAGAATACTGTTCATGACACATGGTTGTAAGATATTGATTTCATCAAAATTTTATCCGAATTCGAGGTTTGCCCAACAATTAATTCTAATACGAAATGTTCGAGATTCTTTTTTTCTAGAAGGAAAGTTTAATAAATTTGTCTTTGTATATATATATATATATATATATATGCTTTTCCATCGAGATTCATATGTAGTCGATTCACGGATTGTATCCGGTATATCCCGTCGCCTGCCACGGAAGAGGAATACTTATACTTTCTGGTGGAAATACGCCGGCCTTGTCTGATTTACATGGGCCCATGATTTATTTATACCCGCCGCCAAACAGGCAGAATTTTATAGCAACCGACTGTACGAGCCGCAATCGAACCCTACATGATGTTTCGAATCCATTCTCCCCCCTCCCTCCACGTTGTTCGATCTCAGAAAACAGACTAACACGTATTTTATTAAGAATATATATACACGATACATTTGGTTAAAAACGATGTAATTTTTCACATTGATTCTCTGA